CGGCGACCCTTCCCCCCGAGCCGGAGCTCCTGGTGGTGACGAGGCCGGCCTCGTCCGCGGGTCATGGCGTGGCGGCGGCCCCAAGCGAGGCACAGGAGCTGCGAGTCATGGCGTGGCCGCGGCGCAGGTGAGGCACGGCATGGCGGCCGTTGCGGGCGCGGCTCGCCGCTGCAGGTGATGCCCGGCATGGCGGCCGCTGCGGGTGCGGCTCGCCGGCCTCAGGTGGTGCACGGCGTGGATTCCGCCGCTGTGGGCGCGGCTCGCCGGCCAGAGGCAGAGCGCTCGAGATCGAGCTCCTGCCATGGTGGGTGCGCCTCCTCTGGATCTAGGGAGCTGATTGCTTTTTTTGAAAACTTCCAGGGACTCGATTGCTTTTTCAGAAAACTTCCATGGACCCGATTGCTTTTTCAGGCACTGACATGTGGGCCCTGCATATCAATTAACGGTCAAACACACGGTCAAATAGACGGAATGTTTAGATGCGGGTCCGACCTATCATAAACAAGTTTAATTTTTAAGCAATGGACATTTAGGGTTTTTTGAAACAGCCGACCCCTGAGTTGGTAGTTATCAGCGAAAAATTTGAAACCGGTAGTTTTTTGGAACCCTAGCCTGTAAAGTAGTAGTTTTATGCTATTTACTCCAGAATAAGCAAACAATCTTTCTCCTGCTCCATCAGAAGATTACCAACAAAAACCATCTGGTACATTCACACATTCAGTTCATCAATGAACGGCCCAATCCCGCAAGAAAAGACATTGATCCAAGGTGACGTTTTAAAGCACCAACATAGTACCCAAGTTATACCTGACAGTATGTCTCATTTATCAGCAGGTAGTTGCAACCCATGTAACCATTCTACTGCTGCATCTACCGACACAAACGGATGACAAATGCAACCCCATTGTTCACCACAATACAACCAGGAGTGTCAACACAATGTCAATGCGGGTCAATTGTACTTGAACACAAAACATTGGTCCCAAAGACAGGAAACCATTAGAGTTACAGAACCAGTTGCTAACTGAAATAAATGCCGGATCAGGTCTTGTGCAAACTAGACAATAATCCTGCAACGGGATTACTAGCCAGAACCATAAATTAAATTGGGGAACACCCATAGGCTACTTAGTAGGCTGCAGTCAGGAGGGAGCACCATACCATAGTAGATGGGGAAAACTATGTCTTTTAGCACTGGCTGACCAAGATCGACGGCAGACCAAGTTTCATCAGGACCTTCAGATAGCCTGGCAAAATAAATGCAGTTACTCTTTCCTCCCCATCTTTCCGGGCTCATGCAAGAAAATGTAGGATTCCTCCTATCGACGCTAACAAACAGAGCATGATTTTCCAGCTTCTCCAGCTTCACCCACTCAGCTGGTTCAACAGAAAAGTCGAGGCGGAAGACCTTAATGGTTGTGTCAACTGAGCCATTCAATTCGCCATAGCTTAACAGTTGGTCAACCATGAGAAGCATGTCACCACAGACCACTAACCATGGATGAAGAGGCGCAAACTCCAATTTAATTGCAACTTCTTGCATGCTGAACTGAGGCGTCAAGTGTATAGTGTGGAGCCTCATAAGACCATCTATGACAAAGATATCACCTCTGAAGAACACAATCTGATAGATGTTTTCACGATCAAGAGCAAGAGGGTGCTCTGACCAGGAGTTTGTTCCAACCTGCCACTCAAACATGGAAGCTTTCGAGCAAAGGAGGAGGCGAGAGTTGGGTGAATTTAATGGAGCTGTAAGGATGCCTATGCCACATAAGTACCCAAGTCTGTTGTTGGGTGGGAGTTTGGGGGGCTTCACCTTGGTACCAGTGTACACATTGACAAGGAGGCAGTGCTCCTCGTAGGAGAAGATAAGATACCCATATGAGCAACCCAAATAGTGCATTGTATTTGGATTATTTTCAGACACTGAACACACAAGGGATAAGTTTTTCTTGCTGGGATCGCTGAGCTGCCATTTGCAATTAGACAAAAGGATGGGCTTGATACCGCTGCTATGTGGACGAACATAAGGACCGTCTGGTTTCAAGTGGAATGGCGGGAAGCCGAATGTATACACAGAGGGAAAGGTAGAGACTGCAGCGCGCCAAGAGCGGCAAGTGCCAGCGAAAGCAAGGAAGTCACGGAATGAGTTAAAGAGAGCAATGATTTCATGAAGCAGGCTGTCCAGGAGATCTGCACAAACATAAGGTCCAGATATAGCCAAGGAGGTAGAGGCTGAGGCTGAGCGAGGCAGGTGTTCTTAGAGGGCCTCTCTACAGTGGCAACTTCTCTGCCACATAAAAATTCAAGAATAGATCAAAATAGAGAACTGAAATATAATAGAGTTAATAAATATTTTAGGAGTTAATAGACTACAAGAAATGCAGCAAGTTTTAACTGAACAATAAGGCAAATGGGAGTGTCAACTGGGACATTCCAAACTTCAATCAGAAGAAACTACTCGAGAACAACCTACACCTTGATATATTTTTTTCTAGAGAGAAGTGCATATTACACCCCTCAACTCTAGCCCTAGTCTAATATACAACCCCCAACTCCAATACCATCTAGTTTACACCCCAACTCTCAAAACCAGGCGGAATTCAACCCTCCCCTCCCCGTTGACTGGTTTTGACCTGTTGACTGGGTGAACAGTAAATCCAAAAGAAATAAAAAAATTTAAAAAAAATCGTTTTTTCACGGGTTGAAAAGTAAAATTTTAAAAAGTTCTAAATAAAAAAAATTAAAAAAGAAAATTGATTTTTAAAAATGTTGATTTTTTGTCCGGGTGAACAGTAAATTTCAGGAAAAAATTAAGAAAACAAAAATTTCTGAATTATATTTGCATGAAACAGTTAACAGTCGTGTACTGTTCGGGCTGATATATTTTTTTATTGAGAGAACTGAAATGTCCAAACAAGCTGAAAATTGTCAGACATCACGCGTTGAAAAATCGTCCATGCAAAAATAATTCGCTTTTTTCCAACTTTTTTTCGAACTTACTGTTCACCCATTGGAAAAGCCAAAATATTTTTTGATTTTTTGTTACTGTTCACCTAGTCAACATGTCAAAACCGGTCAACGGGAAGGGGAGGGTTGAATTCCGCCTGGTTTTGAGAGTTGGGGGTAACTCCGCCTATGTTGTCTCAACATAGCCGGTCCCAAGCCCGGGTAAAGGAGGAGGGTTGTGATAGGCTTGGCGAGCCAACGTAAAAACTCAGCCACTCTTATGGAGATGAAACCCAAAAGATTTTCGTTGGGGCGTAACCCTCTCAGCGACGCGCCACATCGGAACCCGGGTGTGGTGGAAAATGGGCAAGGGCCGGGCCGTCACCCCCCAGGTGGCGCGCCGTATCTTGATCCGGATACGGTGGCAAGTGAGCGAGGATCGGGTCGTCGCATCCTTAGTGGCGCGCTACATCGGCGCCCGGATGTAGTGGAAAATGAGCAAGGGTCTTCGCATTTGACTCGACGAGTGCGAAGGGTAAGGAAGCTAGCCGAGCCTAGGAGGATTCGCTTAGGTAGCTGGAACGTAGGGTCTCTGACAGGGAAGCTTCGGGAGCTAGTTGATGCAGCGGTGAGGAGAGGTGTTGATATCCTTTGCGTCCAAGAAACCAAATGGAGAGGACAGAAGGCGAAGGAGGTGGAGGATACCGGCTTCAAGCTGTGGTACACGGGGACGGCTGCAAACAGAAATGGCGTAGGCATCTTGATCAACAAGAGCCTCAAGTATGGAGTGGTAGACGTCAAGAGACGTGGGGACCGGATTATCCTGGTCAAGCTGGTAGTTGAGGACTTGGTTCTCAATGTTATCAGCGCGTATGCCCCGCAAGTAGGCCACAATGAGAACACCAAGAGGGAGTTCTGGGAAGGCCTGGAAGACATGGTTAGGAGTGTACCGATTGGTGAGAAGCTCTTCATAGGAGGAGACCTCAATGGCCACGTGGGTACATCTAACACAGGTTTTGAAGGGGCGCATGGGGGCTTTGGCTATGGCATCAGGAATCAAGAAGGAGAAGATGTCTTAAGCTTTGCTCTAGCCTACAACATGATTGTAGCCAACACCCTCTTTAGAAAGAGAGAATCACATCTGGTGACTTTTAGTAGTGGCTAACACTCTAGCCAGATTGATTTCATCCTCTCGAGAAGGGAACATAGGCGTGCGTGCCTAGACTGTAAGGTGATACCTGGAGAGAGTGTTGTACCCCAGCATAAGCTGGTGGTTGCTGACTTCCGCTTTCGGATTCGTGTCCGGCGGGATAAGCGGGCTAAAGTCGCTAGAACGAAGTGGTGGAAGCTCAAGGGGGAGGTAGCTCAGGCGTTCAAGGAGAGGGTCATTAAGGAGGGCCCTTGGGAGGAAGGAGGGGATGCGGACAATGTGTGGATGAAGATGGCGACTTGCATTCGTAAGGTGGCCTCAGAGGAGTTTGGAGTGTCCAGGGGAAGGAGAAGCGAAGATAAGGATACCTGGTGGTGGAATGATGATGTCCAGAAGGCGATTAAAGAGAAGAAAGATTGCTTTAGACGCCTATACCTGGATAGGAGTGCACACAACATAGAGAAGTACAAGATGGCGAAGAAGGCCGCAAAGCGAGCTGTTGGTGAAGCAAGGGGTCGGGCGTATGAGGACCTCTACCAACGGTTAGGCACGAAGGAAGGCGAAAGGGACATCTATAAGATGGCCAAGATCCGAGAGAGGAAGACGAGGGATATTGGCCAAGTCAAATGCATCAAGGACGGAGCAGGCCAACTCTTGGTGAAGGACGAGGAGATTAAGCATAGATGGCGGGAGTACTTCGACAAGCTGTTCAATGGGGAGAATGAAAGCTCTACCATTGAACTGGACGACTCTTTTGATGAGACCAGCATGCGTTTTGTGCGTCGAATCCAGGAGTCTGAGGTCAAGGAGGCTTTAAAAAGGATGAAGGGAGGCAAGGCGATGGGCCCGGATTGTATCCCCATTGAGGTGTGGAAAGGTCTCGGGGACATAGCGATAGTATGGCTAACCAGGGTTTTCAATCTCATTTTTCGGGCAAACAAGATGCCAGAAGAATGGAGACGGAGTATATTAGTACCAATCTTCAAGAACAAGGGGGATGTTCAGAGTTGTACTAATTACCGTGGAATTAAGCTGATGAGCCATACAATGAAGCTATGGGAGAGAGTCATTGAGCACCGCTTAAGAAGAATGACAAGCGTGACCAAAAACCAGTTTGGTTTCATGCCTGGGAGGTCGACCATGGAAGCCATTTTCTTGGTACGACAGCTTATGGAGAGATATAGGGAGCAAAAGAAGGACTTGCATATGGTGTTCATTGACTTGGAGAAGGCCTATGATAAGATACCGCGGAATGTCATGTGGTGGGCCTTGGAGAAACACAAAGTCCCAGCAAAGTACATTACCCTCATCAAGGACATGTACGATAATGTTGTGACAAGTGTTCGAACAAGTGATGTCGACACTGATAACTTCCCGATTAAGATAGGACTGCATCAGGGGTCAGCTTTGAGCCCTTATCTTTTTGCATTGGTGATGGATGAGGTCACAAGGGATATACAAGGAGATATCCCATGGTGTATGCTCTTTGCGGATGATGTGGTGCTAGTTGACGATAGTCGGGCGGGGGTAAATAGGAAGTTAGAGTTATGGAGACAAACCTTGGAATCGAAAGGGTTTAGGCTTAGTAGGACTAAAACCGAGTACATGATGTGCGGTTTTAGTACTACTAGGTGTGAGGAGGAGGAGGTTAGCCTTGATGGTCAGGTGGTACCTCGGAAGGACACCTTTCGGTATTTGGGGTCAATGCTGCAGGAGGATGGGGGTATTGATGAAGATGTGAACCATCGGATCAAAGCCGGATGGATGAAGTGGCGTCAAGCTTCTGGCATTCTCTGTGACAAGAGAGTGCCACAGAAGCTAAAAGGCAAGTTCTACAGGACGGCGGTTCGACCCGCAATGTTGTATGGCGCTGAGTGTTGGCCGACTAAAAGGCGACATGTTCAACAGTTAGGTGTGGCGGAGATGCGTATGTTGAGATGGATGTGTGGCCACACGAGGAAGGATCGAGTCCGGAATGATGATATACGAGATAGAGTTGGGGTAGCACCAATTGAAGAGAAGCTTGTCCAACATCGTCTGAGATGGTTTGGGCATATCCAGCGCAGGCCTCCAGAAGCTCCAGTGCATAGCGGATGGCTAAAGCGTGCGGAGAATGTCAAGAGAGGGCGGGGTAGACCGAATTTGACATGGGAGGAGTCCGTTAAGAGAGACCTGAAGGATTGGGGTATCACCGAAGAGCTAGCTATGGACAGGGGTGCATGGAAGCTTGCTATCCATGTGCCAGAGCCATGAGTTGGTTGCGAGTTCTTATGGGTTTCACCTCTAGCCTACCCCAACTTGCTTGGGACTAAAGGCGTTGTTGTTGTTGTTGTTGTTGTTGTTTGAGAGTTGGGGGTGTAAAGTAGATGGTATTGAAGTTGGGGGGTGTATATTAGACTAGGGCTAGAGTTGAGGGGTGTAATATGCACTTCTCTCTTTTTTCTACAATAGTATAACTGTAAGATCTTCAGTGTGCCAACGCTATGTACAATTGTATATCTTCAAATCATATGGCAGAGGTTGCCTTGTAGAGTATCCTCATAATAAATAGCAATAAGTAATGATTTTACTTAACGTAAAAAGCACAATATGATGCTCCCCTTCTAGAAAACTTTTATGTGATCATTTACTTATGTGTGATTCACTTGGTCATTAAACAGATGTATGCAATGTTCATAGCAGCACCATGACCATGAGGAAGACCAAACTAACAAGAGACCATATACATTGGATCCAACCCAAGCGCGCAATAAACTGAATCGCATCAAGTGATGAAATGAGAGACACTCTTTGCTGATTCTACT